AGAACAATCTGCAGGACACCTTCAGAGACTGTGACTCTGCTGAAGATTCTCATCACATCTCCTCTGACCCACAGCTGAATCTGAGAGGAGCTTCTCAACACTCGAGAATCCAGACTTTCCTCAGGTACAACATCACATCTCACTGCACTGACCATGCTCTCTATAGAGAAGAATGTGGTTGAAACATCCCTGACTTTAACCAAAGTCATGAAGAAATTTGCTTCTCAGTTACAAAAAAGCAAAATTTATGTACTAAAAATAAAAACTACATGACTGTTTTATTATTTGGATTTGTTTAAGAAATACACTGGTGTGAAACAACTTAGTACGTTTGATTGCTTTTTGAGATTCGTCTATTTTGGAGTTGTAGCMGAGAAAAATCCACCAGCTGCCACTGGACATGATAGCACAAGTAGTCATATGCATTTACGAAAAATAACTTCAATTGACCTTTTTTTGCCAAGCTAACAAACCTTTGCCTTTAAATGACTTTATTTCACTCAAAGAAACAACCGTAGATTTTAAAGATTTCAGTTCATTAAATGAATACTTGAATATTTGATGAATTGTTCAAGTTTTAGTTTGTGGCCTGGACAGTCTTTATCGAAAAAAGGACCCTGACGAAAAAGGTTTGGGAACTATTGAATTAATCAAACATCTGTATTTTAGCCTTTATTTATTTATAGACAGTGTTCCTCATTAATATCATTATAAAACAAAATAGAAAATCAGTGTCACTAGAAAAAATTGAACCAATCTGGGTTAAAAAAAAAACAAATACATAAAGAAGGCCAGTTTACGTGAAAAGTGGCATACACAAGTTTCTGGGCTCGTTTTGTGCATAAGCAAGCTTTATAAATCCGACCCCAGGTCACGTGGTAGGAAGGCCCTCCTAGTCGGTGTGACGTTTTGCCCTGAGGTGTGGCCAAATCTGGAAGAGTTTGTTTAAACMTGTGCTGACTTCCTGATTTGTGGCCAAAATCCTGAGACTAAATAATGTAATTTGRTCCAACTGTAGGTATTGTAATTTGCAATTAAATGTTCAAGTCTAACTCTGAATTTGTCTCCTGGCTGGCCCACTCCAAAGTGAAAAACATGCATATCTTACATATCATTGGAGTCTCTCTGATAAAAATGTTTAGAGCCCAATTAGTTTTTGACACATTAAGTGTTATCCTGTTCTAAGTTTGTTACCTGCTCATAAACAGACAGTAGTTCWTRTTCATTTACCTCATTCAAACTACAAAATACAGATATCGTAATATCGTCTGCATATRCAGTAGTAGATGTTTTACTCAACACATATGGCATGATTCACAAAAATACAAGAAAGCAGAGGACCCAGGCAGCCGCCCTGTGGAATTCCACATGGAAGGGTCAATGATGATAACCCACAGGGACTGCTTTTTTCTATAYTGACCTCTGCTGTATTTTAATTTAAAAAGTATCATCTAAGGCTATTTCCAACAGCTTGTCATGCTACTAAATTTCAACATTCTGTGAAGGTGTAGGTTTTCCACAYCATGAAATGTCATCAATGAATATATAGAAGTAAAGAGCTGACAGTTTGGATGTTACCTAGAAGCTGTGCTCTTCAATAAATCATAAAGCGTCTGTCTGAAAGTGATCAGTGTTCCTTCATTTTTTCCAGGGCAGTGAGTAGTAGATCATAACTTAGCATATGAACTAAAACAGGACTTGCTGTTCAGTGTCTAACAAACCTTCCACTAGGGGGCATGCCACAACTTAGAGAACAATGACACAGCAGCCAATCCCTGTTTCCCTCAGCTCTGACACAAAATAAGATCTTTTAATAACATAGTTTTGATTTAATTACCTTTTTGAAAGAGTTGGCTCATACTTTAAACAGTAAAATAATAAAAAAATAAGAGGGAGAGGTGTTTTGATTTACAACAGGAGTATAAATCACCAGCTTTATGAAAATATGATAATACATCAATTAGTTTGGATGATGAAAATCTGTCATGAAGCAATTTTGATTCAGTTCAATTCACAAGTCTGACTAATTTGATACTGACCCAYGTTGAATATATGATGATGATATGATTGATGTTTTTGTTTTGCCTTGATGTAAATAAACCATTAATCATTTAATAAATATATCAATGTGGACTGATGTATTGGTACACCTCTAATTTACAGTGATGTTATGCTTTTTGAAGGCCTGATTTTCTTAATGGTTAAATTCACTGACAGTTTGATGACAATTTTGCTCAGCTACATCTACAACCCCACTTCCAATGAAGTTGGGACATTGTGAAAACCATAAATAAAAACAGAATATGATGATTTGGTGATCTTTTTCAACCTATATTCAATTGAATCCACTACAAAGACAAGATATTTAATGTTCAAACTGGCAAACTTTATTGTTTTGTTAATTTTTTTTCCCAAATATTCACTCATTTAGAATCTGATGCTGCAACACAATCTAAAAAAGCTGCATGAGGATCATGTTTACCTCTGTGTTCCACTAGTTTTCCTTTTAACAACACCCAATAAGTGTTTGTGAACAGAGGACACTAATTGTTGAAACTTTGTAGCTGGAATTCTTTCCATTCTTGTTTGATGAACAACTTCAGTTCCTCAACAGTCTGTTGTTGTATTTTGTGCCTCGTAATTCTCCACACATTTTCAATGGGAGACAGGGCTGGACTGCAGACAGGCCAGTTCAGTACCTGCMCTCTTTTACTCTGAAGCCACCCTGTAGGAGCACGTGCAGAATGTGTCTTCATTGTTTTGCTGAAATCTGCAGGACGTCCCTGAAAAAGACGTGGCTTGGATGGCAGCATATGTTGCTCCTTAACCTGGATGTAGCTTTCAGCATTAATGGAGCCTTCACAGATGTGACCCATGTCATGGACACTAATACACCCCCATACCATCAGAGAGGCTGGCTTTTGAACTTTCCACTGAAAACAATCCGGACAGTCCTTTTCCTCTTGTCCCGTAGGACATCATGTCCATGATTTCCAGAAACAATTAGAAATGTGGACTCATCAGACCACAGGACACTTTTCCACTTTTTGTCAGTCCATCTCAGATGAGCTCAGGTCCAGAGAAACCAGCAGTATTTCTGGGTGTTTTTGATATCTGGCCTTGTCTTTGCATGATAGAGCTTTAACTTGTATTTGTTTAGATGAACTGTGTTCACTGACAATGGTTTTCTGAAGTCTTCCTGAGTCCATGTACTAATATCTGTTACAGAAAGATGTGGGTTTTTAATGCAGTGCTGCCTGAGGGGTCAAAGGTCACAAACATTCAATGTTGGTTTTCAGCCTTGTTGTTTACTTGCAGAGATTTGTCCAGATTCTCTGAACCTTTTGATAATATTATGGACTGTAGATGATGCAATCTAAATTAAATTCCTTACAGTTTTACGTTCAGAAATATTCTTAAACTGTTGGACTATTTGTTCATCCAGTTGTTCATGCAGAGGTGAACCTCACCCCATCCTTGCTTGTGAATGACCAAACCTTTCATGGATGCTCCCTTCTTACCCAATCATGACACTCGCCAGTTTCCAGTTAACCTGTTCACCTGTAGAATGCTACAGACAGGTGTTTTGGAGCTTTCCTCAACTTTCCCAKTCTTTGTCCCTGTCCCAGCTTTGTTGAAACTTGTTGCAGGCATCAAATTCAAAATGAGTGAATGGTTGCAATAGACCAATAAAGTTTATCTGTTTGAACATTAAATATCTTGTCTTTGTAGTGGATTCAATCAATTATAGGTTGAAAAGAATTTGCATGTTTTATWCAACGTCCCAACTTCATTGGAATTGGGACTGTACAACCCAGACAAAACAATTATTCCTCTTGATGAATGTTCAAAAATACATTTATTTATGTAATATTGATATGATTAAACATGTTTTGTTTGACAGTTTAACATCTTGTATTCATAGATAACTTAAAGACTGTAAATAAAGTTAGTGCAACTGTCTCTAGAGCAAATAGAACAAACAAAGTAATAAAAAATTACATCTAGTACTTTGTTGTACTATCTATGAGAACATGAACTGTTTGCRGTATGACCTTTGACCTAAAGAATGTAATCAGTCAGCCTCAAATTTTCCCCTACWATAAGAAAGCTTTGTAGGACAGAAATGTTTGTTTGTATGTTATAATGTGCCAATTATTTGTTTAAGAGATGCAAATTACAAAATTACTCATTTGTTTTCCTTATTAAATTTGAAATCAACCACAAAAATCACAAAACAACAAAAATCCAAGGTCTTTTCTTATTATGTTTTTGTACAAAGTCTAGTTAGTTTTACAAAGTTCATTGTGTTGTGCTGAAGAAGGCCTGGTTTTGTAAGTTGCTGTCCACACTCATTGGGTCCTGAAATCGTTTTGGAGCCCTATAGAGTGCAGACATGTTTTGTAACGCAAGATGAGTCCTCTCTGCATCCTTTTTTGTCTAATCCAACAAARTCMTAACAKCTACTTTCATAAYCGTGTCAAAAACCTCTCCGAAGAGTAACCGTCTCTCAGTATGAGACTGAGCTGCCTGGGCTGTGGTGGCTGTAAATGCATCACATGGCAGGGACAGGTTTTTCCTGCAGGCTGCAGAGCCAGCATCAGCAGCCTGCACGTGATTCAGCAGCAGCTCTCCAAACAGAGCTTACATGGAGGGGTGGAGGGGAAATAAACTACCAGGCCACTGTAACAGGATGTACTCACTTCCCAGCCCTGCTTGGCCCAAAATAATAATCCGTGTCCTGACACCAGGCTCACTGTGTTAGTCATGACAGAAAATAAAGTCTGTATTGTTGTGTCTTAAAGTGCTCCCTGCAGGAATGGTTACAAGGCTGGCTCTGCAGGGCATAAGAAGAGATTTGTTTATGTGCTGCCTGGCACAGGAGCTGACTCGTGACTGTCTCTTTAATTATTATTTTCCCCCAACCTCCTAATGTCCTGTCCTTGTCAGGAGGAAACAACAGAAACCTGAGCAGTCACCGTGACGCCTGCAGACAAATCACCCCTAATCCCAGCTCTTTGTGTTGGTGCTAGGTGAAGAATAATAAATAAAAAAAAAGGTGATAAACATCACAGACCGTGTCCTTTTACCTGATGGCGAGCAGCTCATGCAGTAGGTAGGCTGCAGCAGCCAGCAGCGCCCCCCCGGTGATGTAGAGGGTCTTCTTCCACCAGGAGTCCGAGCCCAGAGCCGACATGATGCCTCCGTAGTCCTGCAGAGGAAAGGCGATGATGTAGCCATACAAGGACTGATGCTGCTCGGAGCCGCACAGCCCGAGCGGCAGGCTGTGGTTCCGCCCCAGTTCAACCACACACGGTCGGGTAGAGGCGAAGCCAGCAGCCCAGTGCATCCTCCCACCTTCTGTTACAACCACCCCGCGTCCTCCTCCCCGCCGCCGCGCTTCCCGTCCGGCTTCATCCGAGCGTCCGGTGGGAGGCCTGCGGCATGGCCGCGGTGGGCCGAGGGTTATTTATCCAGAAGACTGGAGGAAGTAAACATCGTACCTTCTTCAGCTCCAGGGATGCCCAGCTACGCTCCTCCCAGTGCTGATTCTAGAAGGTGTAGCTGGGAAAGAAAATGAAAGCACAATAGCGCGTTTTCCGGTTCAGATTTTCAAAATAAATGTCCCATTTTTGGCGTAGATTTTCCAATTTGCGTCGTCAAGGACATATGTATAGAGGTTAAATATATAATACTGTGATGGGCAACATAAATGATGCAAGGGCTCACAATGGGCCACACAGCGCTGCACACTTATCCAAATGTAAAGAAAAAATGTAATCTAAAAATGTTTTCTATAACCTAACATATTCCATGTTCAAATTCATGTGTRATAGTTGTAGCCCACTTTTGTTTATTAAATATGAATACAATACGTTTGAAGCAAACAAAATAAACACGTACTCTAGAGAGCCGACATGACACYTCGAGTGCAAACTCCTGCATGGTTCTGTTAAAAAAGTCGTTTGGTAGCCTACTTCAGTAAACGTCACATATTWAGCTTTGTGCAACGTGTTGTAGCAGCGACTTGTATTCAAATCCTTCATTCATGGCAGACAGCGTCAACACATAGTTTAGGTTGGAATTCTGTGAACCCTTAGTCTACCCCCACCCCCCACCCCAATTTTTTTTTTAATTATTGTTTATTTTATTTTTTGAGTGGGTGCTTCATGGCAGGATGAACGGAAGTCATCCGGCCCTCGGGCCACCAGTTTTCCATTCCTGATATATTTAGATTAYATTCTGTTCCGTATTGTAACTATTTAACTCCATGGTTGCAGTTGCACTCTCAGCTACTATCATCATACCAGACGTTAAATTAATATCTGTAAAACTGACAGAGTTGCAGGTTTTCTTTTAACTTGTACTAGCAACAATTGTGAATCAGGTTAACTCAGAGTAGAACAGCTCTATTCTATATAACRTTGTTCTATATAACTCTATGTGTTAACTCCAAACGTTTATTGTGACATTGGTTTTAATAATTATTTTCTACGAGTTTCATTCTGTTTTGTCCAGTGGTTGATGAGATATTTTGCTGACAGACACAGGCAAAAACATCATCATCGTCTGTCTTTTGCTTTTCAGAAGCGGACAGTTAACATTCAATGTTAGGTAAAATCTTTAATGGTCAACAGAGATCAAAATAGTCTGGCATAACCCTGGAGATCATTAAACTGTCTTTTATTTTTAAATCAAAGTAAGTCTACTTCCGGTGGTTTTGATCTTAAGTTTTGGTAACTTGATGCAGCTGAACTATTATTGTCTTAAGTGTAATAAAGGGATCACCCTCCCTGATGAGGCCAGAGCCTCAGCAGGACCAGYGAAAACACAACTATAACTATGCAGAAAATAAGTTTCAACAAATGTTGGCTGACAGCAAAGTTTGAGCAGGATAGTAAAAAAAACTGTTGTAATGTTGAGTAAGTCCTCTGGATGGGTTCWTCTTTGTTGTACATGTTTCCTCTCTCCTCCAAGAGACATCTTCWGTTTGAGGAGTTGCAGATAGAAGCCTTATAAAACATACCTTCACATAGTGGACCAACCAGTATACGAACGGTGAATTCAAAACTGGTCCTGCATGCAAAGAAGGACCATAAGCCAAACTGATCTTTAGGGTCCYGATGGCCGCTTATTGTTCATGGAGGACTGAGTCATACTSACAATAACAGCATTGTGGAACAAGTGGGCATGGAGGCCTCCATCCCTGTTTAACAAGGAGCGGTTTCTCTTCACAAAAATGGCTTCCTTTGCTTCTCTCTCAAACCAACGTTCTTCTCTATCAAGGATGAGAACAACTTCATCCCAGAAAGAGTGACAACTAGCCTGTAGATGAGTGTAAACTGCAGAGTCCTGGCCAGATGATGTTGCTCTTCTGTGTTGAACCATGATTTTGAACAGTGAACTGTTTTGTTTCACCAATCTATAACTGGTCACAGTCCTCTTGGCATTTAACATACAACATCACTGTTTGTGCAGGGGAACTGGATCTATGGGGTGAACCAATCTTTGCCATAATGTACTTTGGGGCTTATAATGTCTCAGTTTCTCTGAAACTCCTGCAATATACGGACTGACCACTGGTCTGTGTTAAGGGTCTTCATTTTCACCTGGTGGTTGACTGGAGTCCTGTTTGGGGTTCTTGTCTGCTTTCTGTAAAGCCYAGTTAGGATAACCAYACTGCTCCAGGGTCTKTCTTGTKTGYRATTTCTTCTTCTCCATGGCTCTGGTACCCTGTCTGATCTGTGGTCCAGAGTCCTGATGACTCCTTACTTGTGTTCCAGTGTGTGAGGGTATAGTCTAACCACAAATACTGGTCTGTATGGGTGGGTTTGTGATACACTTCACTTTCCAACCATCCTCCATCAGAGACTGAGACATCACAGTCCAGGAACACCAGCCTGCCATCTTTTACATCTTCTCATGTGAACTTTATATATTTATCCACATAGTTGATGTGATCAGTGAAATGATGGACTTCCTGGGTTTTAATTTTAACCCAGGTGTCATCAGCATACCTGAACCAATGGCTCTGTGGTGTCCCTGTAAAGAACACCAAGCTCTCTTTTCCACCTCTTCCATGTACATGTTAAAAAGMCTATACAATGTGTAGTGTCTTTATAAGTCAGTAGTAAACACCCCAATAAATTTCTTCATACTGGTTTGCAACAATAGGGGAAACTGCGGAGCCCACAGCACACCCATGTTTCTGCCTATAGTATTGCCCCCCATTTGTGAAATAGGTTGATTCCAGGCAGTTTCAGAAGTTGACACAGTTGTTCAGTGGAAAGTGTGGTTCTGCTGCTGAGTCTGTGTCTGATTTTAATCATACACAGACCACATCCACCGCCTCATCAACAGGAACGCACATATAGAGTGATGTGACATCCACTTGTGGAACAATTGGACATGGAGGCCTCCACCCGTTTAACAACGGGCGGTTTCTTGTCACAAAACTGGCTTCCTTTGMTCCTCTCTCAAACCAACTTTCTTCTCTATTAAGGATGAGAACATGATAGTTTCATCCATCTCCATGATGACATCTCGCACCTTGTTCACAGAGTCCATGGTGTTCTGTATGTGATGTTCTGAACTGCCAACCAAAGAACCAAGTGACGCCAGATATTTGGAAACATTGTAAGTGACCAAGTTAGTCATGCTAACAATAGGTATTACCGGTACATCCTGTTTGTGAATTTTGGGTAAACCATACAGACTAGGAGTGGCCTCATAGGCCTACAGTCTGTGGTACAGAATGCGGTCAATAACCTTGTCCTGCTCTAATTTTTTCAGGCACTCTATCAATTTCTTCTTGTATCCACTTCCTGATATCTTTTTAGCAGCTAGTATGTGGTCAAGTCACTAAGGAGTGTCACAACTTTCTCCTAATAGTTTTTCTGATTCAAAATCACCATGCACCTTCCTTTGTCTGCTGGAAGGATGATGATGTTCTTGTCCTTGCTGAGTGTGGTGAGAGTGTCGCTCTCCTCTCTGCTGATGTTAGAAGGTGGTGGTTTGGCATTGCTGAGACAGGCTGAAGCTTTGTTCCTAAGTYGTTCTGCTTGAAACTCTGGGATTTTGTTGTTGGCCGATTCTGTGGYTGTGATCATCTCCACAAGAGGAACTCTTCTTGGTGCAACTTCAAAGTTCAGTCCCTTGACATGCCTCCAGTTGGGTGAGCTGTCTGAGATCAGTTTTTCACCCTCTGTCTCCTTGTAGTGTGCTTGTGATTTGGTGWAGTGTCCAAGTTTCTGTGAGTTATTCTTATAGGATTGACAAGTTGCCAGTAAAATAAACTTTTTRTTGTCGGGTCTTGGATTTTTCTACCCGGGTTATTGAGAGCAGTTTAGTTCATCTAAAATTGTTGGATGAAAGGACTCACTCTTGAAGCTAAAGTGCAACAGTCATGTTGACAACCTAATCAATCAGCAGCAGGTGGTTCAGAAATCTGTTCATTCAGCGACAGGAGGAGGATGCCTTGAAGKAAAGAGCTTAGTTAGTTTAGCGATTGTTACATTACCTTCATGGGAAAATAAATTTCAGGTTGCTTTCTTCTTGCTCTGCTCAAAAACAAAGTCAACTAACAACAATTGACTGTACTGATTTGTTTGTGCTAAAGTCTCCGTCATTGCTATGGTAATAGTAAGCGAGTGGAGCAGGTGTGTGTGCATTCAAGGAGCGTGCATTGTGGCACAAGTGTTTGAGGCAACAGCTGAGCTCAAAGTACAACACAGTTCATAACAAGACAAACTCAAAGGTTTCTCAATCGTAGGATATTTTTATAAAAATAGTTTTTGTTGTTATGTATTTTTGTGATATAACTTGTTTTAACTAAAGGTTATGTTAACCTTTTTTAAGAACAAGTGACTTCATTTCTGGCCCTWGAGAAATGTAGATTACACAAATGTTTCCACACAAACCCATTCTAATCTCAGAGGGAGTGATTGCTCACTCTGTCTGTGGATTAGACAAAAATAGAAGAGAAACCATATTTTTATTGGCAGATAGACTCGCAGATTTCTCCGTTCCGTTCATTTAAAAATTCAATTTCACACAAACTGTTTTGTCATTTATTTTAATTCATGCAAAACACAACACAATGAAAATGAGAAACATTTGAATGATTCTGAAGCAATTTAAAACTGATGTGCTAATCAATGACACCATCAAATGTTTGTCCAACACTTTGTATTTATTAAAAACTTGCAAAGCTTAGAGCAGGCTCACTGTGAGTGAGTACACGTTTTATTCTACACTGAGGTGGAATAAATTCAGTCTTGTGTGCCAACATCACAGCTTGGCAGTAGGCCGTCAGGRCTCCAGCCACACATCTGAATCAYTGTTTTTGTTTACTGGCGTGTTTTCTTRTGAAAAGACTCAGCTGTGTGTGGCAGCAGGCTCAGCCTCTGAGTGGGTGCAGCTCTCCTCAGCTCCATCACTCTTTTTGACTGCATGCAGGGCATAGTTGATGGCGGTGCTGTTGGTCCAGGACCAGGCTCCAGATATGGGGTTGTACATCATTCCTTGGACAGACTGAACCGAGAAACCATCTGACACGGCAAGCACAGAAGAAGCATTTTTTTAAATTTTCATACAACAACAGTTTTGAGAAAAAAAAGTAGGATGTTGTAAGAAATGTAAATGAAAAGAGATTTGCAAATCTTATTAAACCCATGCCTTCTCTGAAAAAGAGGTTGCCTGGAGAGGAGCATATGTTGTTCTAAAACCTGTATATATTTTTCTGYATCTATGCTGCTTTATCWRATGTGTAAGCTGCCATAGGCACTAAAGCCCCCCTCATACATGTTGAAAATTGCATCATTTTGTTCACAGCTTCAAGTCTTCCACCCCTTCTTGTCACAATCCAYCAGGAGAACTTTTCACCTCTCTCTGCATGAAAATTTACTGTGTGATTGGTCATACGTTTGTGGGGAGCGTTTGTTTATGCTGAAAGTGCTCAGATGCTGCGTTTTGCTTCAACTACTCACTTCAAAAAAGAAAAAAAGGAAGAAACCCCCRTGCAGTAACATATGCCGTAGCGGGGGATTGTTTCCCAGGAGTCTGTGTGTCTTAATTTCTATGAAAGGTGTGTGCGAAAAATAAAAAACGAACGTTTATCAAAGCTGTGACCATGCGGCGACTACTCGACTTCAGATCAAGTATAATAGGCCCTTCAAAGTAGGGCTGCAAAATATATCAAAAACTTATCGTCATCGTGATAACAGCCTGTGCAATATGCATATCGTAAGAAAATTGTATAAACCGCAATGTTGGCTCAAAAGTTTGCATTTATGTATTTTGTCTCTCAGACGGAAGCTTGAAGTATTTCACCAATCAAATGGAGCCCTTTATGTATTTGGCCAACTCTTCCTATTTTAAAAAAAACCATGCTGGAATGAAAATTATTGATTTTTTCCAGAGCAAAAAGACATCAACACTACATATATATTAGGGGTGCAACAATACATGTACCCGYATTGAACCGTTCAATACAGTGCTTTAGGTTCAATACACACTTGTATCGAACAAAACAGATTTTTAAAATTTATTTTATCAACTTGTCTTCTGAAGATGCTCTGTGTTGAAGGATCAGTGGATCTGTGTTCGACTACTCCACCTAGGCTGCATTTTTGAGTGCAGATCCACTGAGAAACTTGCTGTTTCAGCAACATTTAATTTAAAAACTGTACTTTTGTGGTTAAACAAATGTTCATAMWTAMTTTMWATAAATTACAAGTTAAAAAGGGCATGGGAATTTCTCTTTTTTTGTATCGAAAAAATATCGAACCGTGAGATTAAAATATTGAACCGAACCGTGAATTTTCTGTATTGTTGCACCCCTAATACTTATGTTTTTGTTCATTTATCGCAAGTCATATCGTCATTGTAATATGAAGCACAGTTATTGTACATCGCAGGTTTTCCTAATATCGTGCAGCCCTACTTTAAAGCTTGTTTTGTACCCAGTCTTCCTGACCTGATATCAATAAACCTAATTAGCTGCAGCTGTTTCTCTATTCRTACTGCAGTCATTTGTTGCCATGACCTCAGCTTTTTGAGAAATGTTGCTGACATAAAATAAAATAAAAAAAGTATGCAATTTATTTAAGTCAAACATTTAATATGTTTACTTTTATTGTAAATAAACTATGGGTTAATGAGATTTAAAATCATTACATTTGTTTTCATTTCTAAGTTTCAGAATGTTCCCACATTTTCAATAATGGGGTTGTAAAAAGGGCAGTAAAAAGATTTTAAAAGAAGCGTATCTGTATTTTTTTGTATGAAGAGTGTTTATGAGGCTGAACATCAGTTGTTTATTATACAGAAACATATGATCCATTATACTTTGTTTTTGTGTCGCAGAAACTTACTGGATTCCAGGATGCGCTCCAAATCTACGGGGCTGATGAATTTCTCCCAGTCATGTGTCCCGCTGGGAACGATGCGCAGCAGCTGCTCGGCTACAACGATACCCAACACGTAGGAGAGGTTGGTTTTATTCAAGGTGGTGATGAACAGTGAGCCACCAGGCTGCACATGAAGGGAAATGGAAAGGTTTAGTTCATAAACGATACGTGTCAGTACAAGTTGTGCTAGTTTGAATACTTCAGAAAACTCATTTAATGACATCCCTACGGGTGTTCTTGAGCTTTTCTSTTTTGTGAGTGAGAAGAGACAAAAAAAAAGGACTTTAAGGTTTTAGTGGAAAGAATCCAGGTGAAGAAGTAATAGCATCAAACATCAAGGTTCAACTCTAGGGTGCGGTATGAGGGCTAAAATTAAGACTATTGTGCAACCAGTCATTGTAGCAGGAGGCTATATCTATTCCTAAACCAGCTATTGACCTGATTAATCATAGRCCGGCACCGGTAAGTGAGAGGCCRGCGCTGGAAAATGAGAAGGAGATTATTCATTTGTGTTAGCATCGGAGAGGCTAGCGAGCATGACTAGCATGGATAAGCTGGCGTTAGCCTCTCCAATGCTAACACCAGCCTATCCATGCTAGTCACTAGTCTTTCCAACGCAAACACAAATGAATAGTCTTAATTTTGGCCCTCCTACCGTGCCATACAACTCAAGCTAGATGAAAAAATTCATTAATTTGAATTAAAACATTGCTCTGGAACAGCATCTAAGGTAGACAATCTTAATGAAACTACAATTTGAAAAAGAAAGATTTGGTTCTGAAAAACACAAAAGTCCAAATGTGCAGCAATCAGAAGTCAARGCAGAGAAGATTTTTCTTTTTTTCTCGTCTCAACTTCTTTTAGTGGACTGACCCAGGAGATTATGATGAACCTCTGGCCCAGCACTAACGATGTGCAACACCACCCCCAACCCCTCCACGCACCTACTCCCAGAGATAGGCAGATGCAAACATAATAAAGTAACCATCTGCACATTCAGATGCACTCAGGTAAACACACTGAACCGAGCATCTAGGGGTAAAACAATGCTCACAGTGGTGAGACACACCTTCAGAATGTGGTTGCAGCAGATGGCGAATGTGTCCAAGTCAGCCAGATGTTCCACAACCTCCGATGCCACAACAGCGTCGAACTGGGTGTCGCTCTGCTCCTCTTCTCCTTCATCCGAGAGCTGCTCCAGTGTGCAGGCCCGGTAGGACACTCTGTCACGAAGGTCTGGGTCAGGAGACGAATGCAGCTGAGCGACGCTGATGCTTTCTTCTACTGGATCTATTCCYAGCACACTGGCTCCCAGGCGACCCAGTGGCTGGGGAGGAACAAGGAGAGCYGAGAAGCATCACTAAATGAATGTTRAAGCTWATCAGATATCACTGACTTCAGCTATGCTCCTTTAAATCTCATCGCAAGCTCTATGTCCTGCACGATGCATCATCCTCAACATCCAGAAGAAAAGAATGACCTTACAAAYGACCCAAAACCAATTCACAGGTTTGTTTGAAGTCAGATTTTTTGCATCAATACAAGAATTATTCAGAGCATAAAATAAAGAAACAGTATAACAAAGCAAAAATATTCTGCAAAAGGTAAAAACAGTTTCAACTATTCCACTAGAGCAGATCAGGATTTAGAGTAAAATTATTAAAAGAAAGCTCTGATGTTAACCAGAATTATAATAAAAAAGACAACAAAGAAAAAAAATCTAACCTAAAAAAGCATAAAAACCTTTGTAAATGGTTATATTTTGGGGTGGAGGAAGATTATGTATTATGAGCACATAGTTCAACTCTATACCACAGTCAAGTATCTATGTTACCTTCAGTTGTTCTGAAAATGCTGGTTTTATCAAAAATAACTTTGAGTTTACACCATAGTCTATCTAAACAACTGGAAATTGGCCTCTGTCTTTTTAAGAAACTCCTACGTTTTTCTGACACTCCCACTTCAGCAGATCTTCACAACAACTCTTTGGGGGAGGGGCGYTCTGTGGGGYGGGAGCTCGACTGAAGGCTGMGCTGTAGGGAGGAGCTTTGTGCAAAAAGGCAGAGCTTTGTACCAATAAGTATTTAAGCAGCTCCACATGACTACCACAGRAGATTCAASGATTTCTCAAGCATGCAGGAATGAGTCAAAGCAACACACTGGGTGTGTTTTTGATGAGGGATTATAACATGATATAAAGGTTGAAAAGTTGACCTTGATAATAACACCATCCTCTAAACTAGCACTACATACCCCTACCTTGCAACACAACAAATAGTTTGAGGAGAAGTTAGGGCTGTGCAGGTAATGAAATCTGTATTTTGATTTTGGGTCTGAAAAATATAAAACAAAATGCAATCTACATAAATATTGATTCCCTACAATCTACTGTGTTTCTTTACCCTCTAAATGAGACAATCTTGCAGTTTAAACCCTGACATTTTTTAAGTCAACAAAGGAGGAGGAGAGCAGCAGGAGCATTTAGTCAACTAAACTAAAAAAATAAAATAAAACCAGTTAATCTGTGTGGGAACATTTTGGACTCAAAAACATAATACGGACATGTTTTGTTCCTCAGTGGTGTCTGCACCACAACAAAATTCTCTAACCAGCTGAAAAAATGAACAAACCGATAAATRAAAACAGAGTGACAGAATCAAGATAGTATGATTTCTGCCATAAATGACCAGGAAGCCACTGCAGCCTCCTGACCTGTGTGTGTCAGTGTGGGATGTGACTCTTTACAGAGAGGTCCACAGGTTTAATATTTGGGAGAAAACAAAAGAAGTTTTTAGCAGAATACACTGCCTGGCCAAAAAAGGTCACCACCTGGAYTTAACTAAGCAAATAGGTAAAAGCCTATCATTGGATAATTACTGGACACAAGTTATTTAAMCCCAACTGACGCAGTGAGYAGCTTCTGMTTTTTTTTATTACGTCAAAAGTAYGTATTCGGTKGGTAAGTGTCCTAGAACYGTGGCTGAGTGGTTAATCCTTCAATGAGACAGTTGGTGGTTCAATTCCACTGAYATTCAGTAACATGTTGAAGTGTCCCTGGGCAAGACACWGAACCCCTASTGYCTCTGAWGTGTCCCATCAGTGTATGAGTGTGATTTAAAGCCATGATTAGTCTSTATAGATTGATTTATACAGAYTGGCTTTGTAAAGAGATCTAGAGAGTGCTGAATGAATGTGTGTGTGGACGGGTAAATGAGGACACAGATTAGTAGGGCTGCACAGTATATGCGGTAGACGGTTAAAAACGGTATGAAGTTGGCCTACGGTAGAATTTTTTTTTTCCGGTAGAAATTTATCCTCTACCGTCCTTTCGTCATCGCACCTGTGTCAGCATGACTGCGAGTGCAGAGACAACTGAGCAGCAGGAGTTCAAAATATAATGAAGAAATTCTAGCATTTTAAAAAACGTATAGACAGAACAATCCTCAAAATTTCCTCCTCCCAAGTTACGTCGTGTCGAGGGATCMTTTCCTCCCTCCCTCCATCTCCTCTCGCTGCACGTCGCACAGAGAGAAGCTTTAACAACTGCAGTTTTTCACACCCAATTGTCAGAGAAAAACTTGTTTTTATGTATTGTTACCCACCACAGAGATGATTAAAAAAAAGACGTGGACGTCCCTTCAGTCATAAATCACTGAGTCATCTACCGCGACATATAMTGTTACCATGAAGGTATTCAGTTTATACCGTGATATGAATTTGAGGTCATACCGCCYAGCCCTWGATTRTAATGTAAAATTCTTTCAGTATCCTGGTTGGATTGAAAGGCWCTATACAAGCACAGAGCATTTGCCATTTACCATCCAACACGTTCATACCWACTGGAAGGACAGTGGAGAAACATTTCCTTCAAAGGAGGAAAGTGGTTGAAATGATGGTGATCGGCGATCAGATGAAAGTTTTGTCTTTCACACGCCGTCTCTCTCTCTCTGCTTCACCTGGGCTCACCATACATCGGAAAGCACAACTCAACCTGCTGTGCTCTGACTGGGCTCTGGTTCACTTTTTTTGTTGATAGCAGCATTAGTTTAACCCCAGTATTGTAATAAGACTGAGCGGGGGTTAAAAACTGCAACAAAGAAACATGTTTTTTCTTGTTCGTTCTCTCACGTTTTTACAGATGACAAGAATCTGTTCTGGCGACAGAGAACTTTAATTCCTGCTGAMACCTTTGGTTTCAGAGAGAACAAATGTTGTTGTTGTGTACATGAACAGCCAATGTTACATTATAACATAACAGTATATATAATAGTATAACAGTATATGTACATTACTATATATCACTTGTATATTGTGGGTTTTTTTTTGTTTGTTTTCTTTTGTTTATCTTTCTTTATTCTATCTCACCCACTCCTGTATTGAGCTGCAGTAATGTGCAATTTCCCCGCGGTGGGATCAATAAAGTTTTATCTTATCTTATCTTATGAGAACTTGGATGATACTGAAATGTTTTGTTAAAGTTCCTGTGAGTGCATGAGAGAAGACTGACCACTAAAAGTCTCAATGTGACTTCAAAACAGAAAGTGTGGCATCTGCTGGCAGACAGGTATTAGTCCTTGTTCTTTGTGCACTTGGAGTTTAAAGCTTTCTTCCTATCCCACATATTTACCTCTGTGAGCAGGCCTCCACCACAGCCCACATCCAGAATTCTCAGTTCTGCAAGTGGTTTCCCAGRATGATGTGCTCTGTGCACAGTCAACAGGTTGTCCCTGGAAAAGAAAGAGACWTTAAAATGACTAAATCACATCTCTTATCCGGGCTGCCAGAACATTCTTCAACATTCACCAGTGCAGTCACAGACTTCACTTTGAAATGAAAGGACAAAAGAAGGAAGCCAGACTCCTTTTTACTGATGCTACCAAACAAAAAGAGGTGGTCAGGGAAGRGACATCTTTTCTACCAACCACTGTCACAGTATGCTGACATGTCCCAGTAAAGGTCTCATTTCTTCCATCACACAGACCATGCCAAAAACTGAACATTCACTAGCTTCATCAAACTCTGCCAAAATTAATTAAGATTTAATAAATCCTAATTTATTTTTTCCACTGTTTAGAACAGGTATAAAGATACACCTAAGACACAAAYCAATACAAATTTGGTGCAACAAAAAAAGCTATTTATTTTATTTTATTTTTTTTTGTAACAAACAATAACCTTCCAAAAAGCAGAAGCACAAAAACTAACCACTCTTCCTTTTGGGGAGGGTCTAAGTAGCAGGTCATTTACAGCAAGGCAGCATTTGTCAGCTGCAAGTTTACCATAAAAAACAAATGGGAAACGTCCCACTATACTGCATTCTTCATCTAAACTGATCAGTAAACTGTCCTACAGACCATGTGTCAAACAGAATGTTTGATAAACTTCAGAAATGCAACTGTCTCTTTGAAATCAAGAAAATGCTTAAAAAATAAACAAATGGAAAAAACAAGGTGTTTTTGCTTTTATTTTGATCTCTGATGCAAAATAAAAACTGAATAACAACACTGTCTAACGTATTTTTTTCCTTTTATTCACGTATTACACTTCTTATTGCCCTGTGCAACACATAACTTAATTTACACTTAAAACACTTAATTTATACCAGATGTGGTTCCGCTCCGCTGCACAGTTCACCRCTGTTTGTTTGCTCCCCAATTTGAGCTTCAATTCTGAGCTGTTGCACCCCTACACACCCTCCCGTTCCCTTAGGTCAGCTGACCAGTTGCTTTTGAGTGTGCCAAGGGCAAAGCGCAAGCTTAGAGGGGRCYGTGYTTTTTCTGTGGCAGCTCCCAAACTATGGAATGACCTTCCTTTGGATATAAGACAGGCCTCTTACCTTGTTGTTTTTAAATCGCTTCTTAAAACCCATCTTTTTTCTTTGGCTTTTGTCAAAATTGGGGATGTTTGATGTGTGACTTTGTTTTATTGTGTTTTTATCTGTGTTTTATTTGATTTCTACTTTTATTTTTCTATTTTATGAYTGTATTGTATTTTATKACTGTGTGCAGCACTTTGGTCCTGTCGRTGTTTAAAGTGCTTTAAAAATAAAGCTGGTATGGTATGGTAATGTATACAGCGTACGCTCTGCGAGGTCCGAGAAGCGAGAGCAGGAAATGTGAGATTGTGCAATAAATCCAGTGATAAATGTGGAAGTCAGAGAAAATAATTAATTCTATGGTAGACGAACTCCAAACACAGCTGAAACTGCATCRCTGTCGTCTTTTTGAAACTTCTGATTTCAAAATAAAATCCACRTGTATTATGTGTATACACATATGCTGCACGCTACATGTTGCTATCAGCTTAAAATAGGATTAAATCTAATTTTGGCGGATTGCCATCTGCTCACTGCCGCTGTGCGGAGCCAGTGTAAATATTCACATGGTTTATAATGGCAGCACGGTGACTCACTTGGTAGAGCTGATGCCTCTCAGCAAGAAGGTCACCGGTTCAAATCCCGGCCCGAGGACCTTTCTGGGTAGAGTTTGCATGTTCTCTCCGTGCATGCGTGGGTTCTCTCTGGGCACTCTGGCTTCCTCCCACAAACATGACTGTTAGGTTAACTGATAACTCTAAATTGTCCCTAGGTGTGAGTGAGAGAGTGAATGGTTGTTTGTCTCGTTTGTCTCTATGTGTGTCCCTGTGATGGACCTGCGACCTGTCCAGGGTGTACCCCGCCCCTCGCACTGTGACAGCGGGATATGGGCACCAGTGACCCACGCGACCCTGAAAGGAATAAGCGTGTACAGAAAATGGATGGATGGATTATGATGGTTACGTATTTACTGTGGAGTTCGGAGCGGAGCCGCATCTAGTGTAAATTAGGGGTAATGGTTAAAGTGATAAAAATAGGTGCATCAGTAATATCCACAAGTTTCTGGAAATGTGCATGTAGGCTGCCATGAACTGGCCCCAYCCACAGCCCTCCCGACTGTTCAGTTTTTCCGGTGCGCAAGAAATTAAWTCATTCAGATAGTTATGAAAATAATAAATTCAGTTTGTTTTTGCTTTAACTGGCAGCTWGARCAGTTCAATCAYGAGTTCAGGTTCATCTTGTGTTTTTGTCRGCTKCCACAACAATTGAAGAAAACTGAGAAACGCTTYATAAACATTTTGTTTGGAAMAAGACRTAGTAAAAGCATAGCGCCCTACAAACTGCACTTTATGCTGACGAAGGAGGATCATAAACTAACATGGCTGCAGCGTTAAATCTGAAAAACCCACCAAAGAGAGTTTGCTTGCTTTTTTCATTTTATCGACAAAAATCCCACAAATATTCACTCTGATCCAGAGCACTATCTGGGCTAAGGTTGGTTACCGAAGGCGTCTCATCCAAACCACTACGAGTCAGACAGCTTCCAGCAATATCAACTAAAACACTGAATCTGTACCTGGTGAGTTCAACTCTAAATGTTTTGTTTCCCCTGTTGCTATTTAATCGCTCAGTTCGTTGCTTTTACTGAACGAAAGCCTACGGTGAATGGCGTTAGCATCAGCGCTAGCTACTATTAGCCTGGTTGTTCAGCATGTTATTTGCAGYTAATCTTAAATTYAAAGAAATATTTTGCCTATGGTTAGTAGCCGCATGCTGGCAAAACTATATAAATGRCTTAATTTAACTGTTTCAGTTCTGAGTAACCTCAGAATAATAAACTATCCTCTTGTTTACATCATGGCAGGATTMAAAGATGAGCAGCTTAGAACCCAGGCCAGGGGCTATAAAAGGGTCTGGTTTGTTTAAATAAAAAATATGCTTAAAAAGTTATTAGAGGCAGTTTATTTATTTTTGTTTATCATTTATTTAAAATGACTGTAGCTGTATGAAACCCTCCAGTTCATCTCTTAAAGTTACAAGCTAGCAGCCAGTGAACTGTATGTTTACAATAAAGGGGAGAAACTATCTTTTCACAATACTTCTATAAAATTATTACAATTCTGAGGGGCTTATGAACATGTTACTTCCAGAAAGGTTGACATTTCTGATTTTGCACATGCGTGTCTTCAAGGAAAGATGAGGTAGTTGATGTCAGTAGTAGCTATTAGCTAACATCGGGACATAGCTTCATGTTATCATTCTGTGAGCAGTGACGGGTGATCCACTGATAAAGAATTGCCCTTGCTGCTTTTGAAAACATCCTAACCATATATACACCTCCGATATGTGGCCATCTATGAAAAATGCTTTGATAAACAGCGATGGTGTATCCTCATAATTGTAAACAACAGCCAAGCGGAAATATGGAACCCTCTTCCGCTATGAATTATGGGTAGTGGCGCGAAATCMGGAATACTGTGGATAAAGYTCTAGCAGCAAMAKTGTTGTTGTGCTGCAGTTTATACTGTAGAGACATCTTAAAGCACAGCCTGAACAATATCTAAAGAAAAACATGCATATGGCAAARGACTAACAACACAACTAGTTTAAACATTCAATTTTTGTATCACCAGACTAAAAAATAATATTTATTCCTGTCTCACTCCGTCTCTCACTTCATCCGACATTAAAAGCAAAAATATCTCCCGGTCGGCCTGCAAAGCATCTTGGGACAGTGTGTGCTGTGAAGAACACACCGGGCCCGTCCCTCAAATCGGGGGAAAAGCACGACACATTTGTGAGCCACAACTGGAGAAGCCTTTGAATTTGCACAGCCTTTGGTRCAACGCTGTGACGTAATCTGCCTTCAAATTCAGCTTTGATGGGTGCAGCTCCTGAATTTGGACACACCCACTGTCACCCTCRATGGGATGGAGACATGTGTTCCCATCCCTTTTAAAAACACTGAGTGAGGATAAAAGCAGCATAAAGCTTTGGATGTGAGGGTACTCTCATATTTATAGTGTAGGACACCCCCAAAAAATACAGCTCACATAAATCAAAACAGGTGGAACGTGTGTGTGTGTGTGTGTGTGTGTGTGTGTGTGTGTGTGTGGCGCTGAGTTCTGCAGAACTGTTGACTGGAAAATCAATGACATTTGGAGCAACACATTTCCATGTTACTTCAGCGCCTCCTTCATGAGTTTGTTCTATTACATACAAAGCCAGACATGACGATGTTTGCTGATGACTCTGGGACTGAGTGTGATATGTGACCCACCGTACGAAAGGCACCCTGAGGTCATTCATGGCGTGCAGCGCTGCAAACCCTCCCTGTTCGTCCCACCACTTGTTGGCCAGCAACTGGAACCGCCTCACCTCACCGGGGTCCACGGTGGTGTCAGAGGCCGACCAAGTGCTGCACATGCTTGCACTGTTGGGAAAGATTAAAAYAAATACTTCTGCTATGTCACATCTAGACTCAACAAACTGCAGTTCATGACAGAGACGTGTTTAGCAACATTTAATACAAGTTAAAAACCAAAAAGTTGGAATTCCAGTTAAAAGATGCTAAACTTGTAATTTTGCTTTGACTGTGTTGTGTCATTAAAGACAGTAAAAACACAAGATATTTGTTTAAGGCTTTGTCTCAACAGGTTCATTTTAATCACAAATATACGTTAACTTCCGCACTTTAGGCCCTAAAAGAAAAGTTCAAATGTCTGTGTTGTCACYGTATAACCTTTGACACGTCTGTTTATGAACTGCACTTATTTTCCCAGGAATATTTAAATAATAACTGGAAATTTGCCTACAGTTTTCTTTGCTCATGCTTRTGTAAAAATGAACTATATATACTGCATGTACACATGTGGACAAAATTGTTGGTACMCCTCGTTTAATGAAGAAAAACCCACAATGGTTACAGAAATAACTACAATCTGACCCAAAGTTGCAATAAATAATTCTATAAAAATAAAAAAAGGAAATTAAGACAATTGCTTTTCAACCATGCTTCAACCGAATTAAAAATAAATATATTAAAAAAAAAACTTGTGAAACAGGCCTGGACAGAAATAATGGTATTAGAGACAGCTAATATGAATGAAACAAGAGCCCAGAAAAACTTCTAAAGAGATTAAAGGTGAACTTCAACAGGGTTCATGCAGGTTTCAGGAAGTTAAATTTAAGACCTTTTAAAGACCTTTTAAGACCATTAGGAATGACACTTAAGACCAAACCAACACATTAACAGGAACAGTCAAATGGTCCCAGAAATTTTAACAGAGAAACATTTTATTGCTATCAATTTAGCTATTAAAGAATATTTAATTTTAATACAAGAACAAAAAAATATTTTAATGAAACAGTCATATCGGACTGCTGTGGAACGCTTCCAACTGAGTGCAAAAATCACTGATATGAAGCCAAGCGTCATTGAAAACACACTTTCTCATGTTTAAACGACAAGCAGCGGACATGACTGAACTTCTTTGTTTTTTGGGTGGGTGAACAAAGTGCCATATGCGGGGGGTTTGTAGCGGCAAAGAGGTCAAAAGCATGGAAATAAACCGTGCCATTTTTTGCCTGCGGTTAACACAGGATTTGTAGTTTAACCATGTACAAAGACCAGTAGCAAACTAACAACTTCATGAATACAGATCACATGAACTGATCATCAAAAGTAAAAAAAAAATAATAATAAGACTTGACTAAATTAAATTTAAGACTTTGGATGAAAATCTGGGCGTTTTTAAGACTTTTTTAGGTCTAAAATTTAGTTTTTCAGATTTTAGACTTTTTTTTTTTTACTTTTTCAGACCCTGCATAAATCCTGTCAAGCTCAAAGAACATCAGAGTCAGATCAGCACCATCCGTCCTTGTGTGAGCCAAAGTGGACTCAATGGGAGACGACCAAGGAGGACACCAAATCATAAAAAAGCCAGACTGGAATTTGCCAAACTACACGTTGACAAGCCACAAAGCTTCTGGGAGAATGTCCTCTGGACAGATGAGCCCAAAAATGGACGTTTTTGGCAAGGTACATCAACTCTATGCTCAAGAAAAGAACACTGTCCCTACTGTGAAACATGGAGGAGGCTCTGTTATGCTCTGGGCCTGCTTTGCTGCATCTGGCACAGGGGAACTTGAATCTGTGCAGGGTACAATGAAATCTCAAGATTATGAAGGGATTCTAGAGAGAAAAGTGCTGCCCAGTGTCAGAAAGCTTGGTCTCAGTCGCAGGTCATGGGTCTTCAACAAGATAATGACCCAAAACAGCTAAAAACACCAACTACGGTTAAGAGGAAAACATTGGACTAGTCTGAAGTGGCCTTCTATGAGCCCTGACCTAAAKGCTATTGAGCATCTTTGGAAGGARCTGAAACATGCCGTCTGGGAAAGACATACCTGAGACAACTGGAGCAGTTTGCTCATGAGGAGCGAACCAAAATACCTGCTGAGCTGCAGACGTCTCACTGACAGTTACAGGAATCATTTGATTGCCTCAAAAGGTTGTGCAACAAAATATTAAGTTAGGGGTACCATCATTTCTGTCCAGAAATGTGAGTTTTATTTTTATTTTTTTTAATTCTCTTGTTGAAGCATGGCTGAAAAGCAATGTCTTGCTTTCATTTTCATAGAATTTTTATCAAATGAGGGGTATACCAACACTTTTGTCCACATGTGTATGTTGAATAGTTGTTCCCTAAACTAATAGTCCTCATTTCATTGCTTGAGTTATTACATAACATGTTCAACTAGTTGTCAAAATACTAAATTTCTGCATTTATTTATCATTTTTTCCCCTACGTATCTCCAAAATTTTAAAGAAATTAATAAAGTAAATTGAATAAAGTCTCACAGCTTTCACTGAGCAGTGTGTGTGAAGCAGAAAATGGCATTCCCACCCATATACCGTCGTCTTGGACCATTCAACATAAATCTTCTGACTTTTTTACTTTACAGGGACATAATCTTGAGAATGAGACTGGTCTAAAAGGAGACCATCTGAACAAGCAGGTTTCTGTATGGAATAATGTGGATTATCAGGTCTCAGATCTGGTCAGAAGGTGGTTTGCAGCGCCTGAAAGGATGCTGGTGGAACATCGCCCTCACTACTCACCATTCCTTCAACAGAWTTTTTTTCTCTGCCTGGAGATGGAAGGTATGTGACCAGTGTCCACATACCTAAATGGCCCTGCTAGCAGCCATGGATGCAGCATGTGACAACATCACAGCAGAGGGTGGATTTGCTACAGGAGGAAATACTTTCCTGCATTAACAGGGATATTTGCTGTGACGTCTGGATGTGTACRAACAATTTAAAGTACTGTGTCTGATGACCAGTTCAGTTCCGACATGTTCTTATTGCTTACAGTTCTGCAGAGCTCTACCCAAAGGTTATTTCTTGTGTTGGTGTAAATAAGTTTGCACTTCACTTTTGCACAATGCTAACAACAAACTAGAATTGCAAAGAGAATATGCTGTAAAAATGTGTCTTGTACTTATTTACTTACATTCAGAAATGTGTAACTTAACTGTACATTTCAAATGTCTGTGCAAAYAATGTATGGTGTTCTCTTGAGCATTTTCAATCCGTTTTTTTTTTTGCTTTGGAAAACAGTGAACTGTTATAAAGAAAACAAAGTGACAAAACACTGATGTCAGCGTTTTTCTTTTGGAGACACAAAGGGAAATTATCTGTTGTGCAAATGATGTGATAAATGCAAAAGAGAAAACATAATTTAACAGGCCGGCAACATCAATAATAGTTCAATTAAAAATATCTACTATGTCAACAACAAAACATATTAGGGAGACTGTGGTTAATATTTTGCATTAAAATGCAAGTTGCGGTTTTCTTAAACTGAAAACTTTTTATAATGCATTTATCAAGATTTCTGACAAGGACGTACAGAGATAAGTGTTGTTATAAATGATTTTTTTAAAAGCCCAAATCACTTGCTGGGAGTTTTGGCCTCGGTTGAACGCTAAGCCAGACGCGGGTAGCGAGCACCCAGCTGGTTCTGTACCGTACCCGGTCCGGTGGAGCACGGCGCTCCGCTGCTGACACACCGCACTCCAGCTGAAGCCGCTCCGAACAGCCGCACCCCGGAGCACAGCACAGACAGAGGTCGGTTTCAGGTTGTACAACCCAAACATGAGGCGGRCTAACTTCTTCGAGTACATCACAACAATCAGCAGCGTCCTCCTCTTCCGGTGAGTTCTTCTTCTGCTGTTCGGTGCAGCTGCAGTCCTTTCTCTGCTGCCATCTTCCGGATTCAACGAGTACTACAGGTTCATCAAATGACAAATGCTTTCCTGCATTTTGGCAAAATAAAAATAAAAATTAATAATAATCTTAGTTGGAAAACCTGTTRATTTCCCTTCTTAAATGGTGACACATTTGTACAGAGCATGATTTTGTGGGATGAGCAGTGGGGTTGCACACAGGACATATTTGCCCAATCTTCTGTGCCCGCTTATTTTGCTGCCTTCTTCTACCACTAACCTGATCCAGGAGAGGAACAAACCTCCCTCTCTCTACAGCTCCTCCAGGTAGTTCCCAAGGCACTCCCTGGCCAGAGAGGATACAGTGAGTTCTGGGTCTGCCCCAGAGTTTCTTCCCAGTGAGACATGCCTGGAAACCTTCAAAGAATCCTAGTCAGATGCCTGGACCACATCCTTCTGATAGAGTGGGACATGGCTCGACAGATCAGGGCCTCATACTCAGTAATGAGGGCGTTGCTTCGATTGGTTTTGGTGAAGAAAGTTGAGTTGAACAGCAAAGCTGGTTTGTCTACTTTTCAGATTTTTATTGTTGATCTCATTTTTAAAAAAAAAGGTCCTAAGATGAGGATTTACAAATTCACTTTAGCAAAATCAGAGGTCTTCAACCTTTACGTCTAAAGAGCCATTTTGTTTGTTTTTATACAAAATAGAATTTAAAACATGTTGGGAGGATTATACTAAAGATTAATGCATCTCATCTGACTTTATGTAAATACTATGAAAACACTATTACAATATGATTTATAGTAAACTGTTGACATTTACCAGCACGTTCTCTTTTGCAGAAAAAAAAAACCTTACAAGTTTGTGTAAATACTCGATAAAATTTAAATACCCAAAGGCACTGTCAAACTAAAGTTTTAGACAACTTATGAAAAAATATTTGACTAAATACATTTGATGTAACTGTTAGCAATTCATTAAGCATGCTTCCAGTTTTCTTTTTAATTCCATCTTCTGCATAGACATAAGTTGTCTAATGAGTCATAGTGTGACAGGGCCTTAACTATGCAAGACTTACATTTTTGTATTTTATTTGAAATTTTCACTTTAATGAGTTGCATTACAACAATTTTGGTACCAAGTTAGTCTAGCATATTAAATTACTGAATGTCAAACTTTAAAAAGTTCATATCAAAATCAAACGTACACTTTTATCAGAACTTGATATATTTTAAACACTTTYTTTGATGACATTTAGCAGAACACTGTATTCAAAACAGCCCTTTGTGTTCCCTCTTGTCAACATGCCTTATTTTTTTTATTCTTTGTAGAAATCAGTCAATTATTATGGTCAGAAGTTGAAATAAGTGACGATTAGTGAAAACTGATTAAGCTGTTCATCTCCTTGTTTAGTTACATAAATTGTAATCACAATGCAGAAAAATCAGACTGAAGAGCTTTTTCCTATTATTTTTTTGTGCTACAAGGATGTGAGTGCTGATGCAGTAAACTGRATTACCACAGGGTGTAGTAGAASTCTACATTGAGTTTTTGCTTGTACCRGTGATCTGTTCTAGTTAACCCAGGACACTTGTAGAAGCCTGGTGGAGCTCCACTGACATATGGGACTGTTTTTAATCACTTACAGGTGTTAGTCCACACTTTTCATGGATGAAGACCACCTAGTTTATTTTCCCAAAYAATATACAGTTCGACRTACWGCTAGTTATGACGCCAATAAGACAAGTTGGAGAAGAAGCAAGGAATAAACAGTTTTATTGGACATCTTACATTGTGGGATGAAAAAGAAAAGTCTTGTCGTGTTTTAAAACGATCCAACTTCAGTTTTTAGTGTCCCGTTACACTTTTCATAATGAAATTGTTTCAAAACGTCTTGTTCTTCAGTTACACTTTAAAAATGACAACTTATTTACAATAAAAGAAATGTATGAGGGGGTGTTCACCTACACAATTGCCTCTATAATGAGACAAGCCTGCTCAACTCATGGAATTTAAATGGCTAACGGCACAGATCTGGATGTCAGCTGTGCTCCTCAGCGTCTGCTGCGACGGGAGGGGGACGATGACCTGGAAGAGAGGCAGGTGGAGCAACATTAATAATGAATTCAACACTTTGAAGTATACAACACAAAGATGCTTCAAAGATGCAAGCCCACAAACCAAACTGCCAGAGAATACAATACTGTAAAACACTTTTAAGACTAACGGGCTGCAGATTCTACCCTGCAGACCATAGAGCCAAGTGTGCAACATCACAAGACATTTTCTTCTTCTAGTTTATGTGTAAAGATGAGAYACAGTTCAGTTCAGTGCTAAAACAAACAATCATGGGCTCTACTCCTTATATATTGTTAAAATCACTTCTGGTAATTTTGCTGAATAAAAACATTTGACCAATAAAATCACCATCCTTGATTTTACACATCAGAAAGTCATTTTTTTCTTTTTTTGGGATAAAAGTTCAAACTTTTAACAACACATACAATGAACATACAGTAAGTAAAAAGGGAAAAAAACGAATACTACCTTGATCGCGACTTAGACTTGTGTTTGCGGCTTGCCTTCTTACCAGACTTGTGAGATTTTTCCACCGACCTTGAACGACTACGTTTGGATTTCTTAGATTTCTTTTCCTTGCCAACTTCAGGGGTAGGGGATCTACTAGAGTCTGAGTCTGAGTGTCTCCTGCTGGCTTTGCTGGAGCTCTTCTTGGTTGATTTGCTGTCTTGTCGAGAGCGTTTGTTCTGAGGATCTGCATACGAGTCACTCTCTTTTCTTTTCTTTGATTTGCCATCCTCTTCTGTAATAGAGCTTTCCTTCTCTTTAGCTCTAACCTTTTCCTTCTTTTTGTCTGTTTCCTTGTCTTTATCATTATCCTTCCTTTTCTTGGTCTCTCTGTCATGACTTCGACTCCTGTCTCTCTTCCTGTCTCTGTCTTTGCTTGAGGCCTTTTGTTTGTGTTTGCTGCTTCGACTGTGACTGCTGTCCCTGCGCTCCCGGCTGCGTTTCCTCTCTTTCTCCCTCCTGTCTTTGCTGCGACTGCGGCTGTCTCTGGCCCTCACCCTGCCTCTATCTCTATCTCTGTCTCTGGATCGGGATCGAGTCCTGTGACTCCTGCGCTCTCTGGAAACACTGCGGTCTTTCTTGTGGCGGCCCGATCGCTCCGCGCTGCTCCTCCTCCTGTCCCTGCCCTTCTCGCTGCGGTGCCTGTGGGAACTGCGGCTTCGGCTGCGACGGCGAGCCTTGCGGGAGGAAGAGCGACGCCTCTTCTTCTTTTGAGGAGAGGAGGATCGAGAGGAGCTGCGGGAAGATGCCGAGGAGGAGGAGGATGAAGAGGAAGAGCGGGAGCTGCTGTGGCTGGAGGTGGAGTGGGAACTGCTGCTACGACCGTTGGCTGGGGAGCGGCTGTCACCTCGCCCTGATTCCTCCTTCTCTCTGCCTGAGAGCTTGCCCTCATCACTGCGAGACGTTCGCCTGTCTACCAGGAGCTCTGCTTCTCTCTCTTTTACTTCCTGTTTGTGAGCATTTTCTAACTGCTCATCATATTCCCCCTTTTCCCTACTCAGTCTCTCCTTGGTCATCTCCTCTGTAAAATAAACAAAGACAATAATTAAAAGCATACCAACATTTTTGTTAATCCTGTGCCCTCTGGCGTCTTCTGGGTCTGTGTACATTTTTAGGTTTGCTTTTCATTTTAAAATCAGATATTGAAAATTACGTTATCTTATTTTTATTTTAGACTCTCAAAACAGATGTTCAGTTTGTCTTTTTATTTTTGTCAAACTGAAAGTTTAACAGTGTTGTCAAGGCAATTTGATGCAGTCCTGTGGAACCTGCTGCAGCTTCAAGTTCCTCATCATGGACCTGTTGGAAAGGCTTCATGTGCTAAAAGCAGCAGAAGCTCCAGCAAACACTTTGAATCATCAGTGATTCACAAACTGACTCCTGTTAAAGAACGTAGAACTAGTTAAGCTAGTGTTTGTTTATTACAGCTGCCTGGTTAGCTAGCTATAAAGTGTTTATTCATCCCATCATCAGACCATTTATTACTGTTTTTAAATTAAGACTATTGTTGGGTTGCAGTCATGTGACCCGAGTGACGCACAAAATTCAGATGGGGGGCAGGAAGTTATTTTCTCCAGTTCAAAGCTCAGTGAAATGGATCACAGCGAGTACMCTAATGCTCTACATAGGCTGGTGCAGACGAGATGTCGTGGAAAAAAATCTGTGTACATTTAGGATCTGATCCATATTGTCTGAATAAAAAAGATTATCATATAATCTGGAGGATTTACACAGCGTTAAAGCGACTGACATAAACAATCTGGTGCTGCAAATCTCGTATTGTATGACAAGCCAGATGAAAGCTTTCAAAAAGCCTCGAAGTGACAATTATTTAGTTTCAGGTTGAGTCAAGCATTCAGGATCCAAAGAAGCTTTAAATGGCTGTCGACTTGTTTCTGCCCGGGTGAGTAGTGACTTCTGCTATTTTAAGTAATTAGCCTATAATAACAATGCTATCGCTAATGCTAACAATGAGTTAACCCATTATTTCTATGTGCTTGGATCTACTTGTAAATAATTTATTTAGCTTCTGTAAACCCAAATTTAAGTAACTATCCAAGAAAATATCTGAAAATACAATTTAAACAATATGATCCTGACCTGTTAGAAAGTGGTCGCTGCAAACACTTTGCATTGTTTGTTTCCGCGCCTCTTGATTTTAGCCGCAGATTGTTGATTTACTTTAGTCATCTTTTTTCATCAAGTTTTTAAAAATTAACTCCCTTGTGACACACTACTTTCAGAACACGAAAAAGATATCTTTATCCTGAATGGAGCAGTTGAAACAACCGTACACGGCACAGAATTTAGGCATTTTGACGCTGAATCAACAGAAGGAAACGGGGCTGCGTTTACTTCCTGCCCGCCGTCTGTATTTCGTGATATCGAGACGTCATCAGCTACCCAGCAATAATAAAAAATACGGTCTGCAGTTAGTTAAAGAAATGCAAAAATGTTAGCTAGCGTTTATATATTTACAAGCAGCCACGTTATTAAACAATTATTTAACAAATTCCACCTAAAATGGTCTGATGACAAGTTTGAACTTCGGGTTTGAGAAAGATTAAATGACGTATCCATCAGTTTTTGGAGTAGAAAATGACATTTGCCAATTGATTTTTAATATCTTGTTTTTAGAAAGAAAAAACAATTAACCATCTGTTTTTAATACAAAAACTGACTGACCAGAAAGTATGCGGACACTTCTGAAGGAAGTGCTAGTTTGCCTGATTTGTGTGACTAAGAACACATCATCACTGTACTTTGTTGGTTTGTGTGTCAGTGACCAAAGGTTGCTTTAAGAGGAGATTGTTTTTGCAGCCATTTTGTAAGACACATACAGCGGGTAAAATAAGTATTGAACACATCACCATTTTTCTCAGTAAATATATTACTAGAGGTGCTAATG